AAAGATGTTCAACATCACTAATTATCAGGGAAATGCTAATCAAAACTACAATGAGATATCACCTCACTCTCATCAGAATGGCTATAATTAACAAGACAAGAAATAATAAGTGTTAGAGAGGATGTGGAGAAAAGGGAACTCTCATACACTGCTGATGGGAGTGCAAACTGGTGCAGCCACTATGGAAAACAGTACGGAGATTCCTCAAAAAATTAAGAATAGAACTACCATATGATCCAGCTATTCCACTGCTGGGTATTTATCCAAAGAACATGAAAACACAAATGTGTAAAGATATATGCACCCCTATGTTCATTGCGGCATTATTCACAATAGCCAAGACTTCGAAGCAACCTAGGTGCCCATCAAGGGATGAAAAGATAAAGAAGATGTGGTATATATACACAATGGATTACTACTCAGCCATAAAAATGATGAAATCTTGCCATTTGCCACAACATGGATGGACCTTGAGGGTATTATGCTAAGTGAATAAGTCAGAGGGAGAAAGTCAAATACCATATGATTTCACTCATAAATAGAAGATAAAAACAACAACAAACAAACATATAGAGACAGAGATTGGATTGGTGGTTACTAGAGGGGAAAGGGGGAGTGTGAAAACAGTGATTTGCACATGTGTGTGGTGATGGATGGTAATTAGTCTTTGGGTGGTGAACATGATGTAATCTACACAGAAATTGAAATATAACAATGTACACCTGCAATTTATATAATGTTATAAACCAATGTTACCTCAATAAAAAAATAGGCAAAGGACTTAAACACTTCTCCAAAGAAGATATACAAATGGCCAGTAAGCACATGAAAAAATACTCAATGTAATTAGTTATCATGAAAATGCAAACCAAAAGCATAATGAAAAACCACTTCATACCTACTAGGATGGCTATAATAATAATTTAAAAATAAACAGAAGATAACAAGTGTTGGTGAGGATGTAGAGAAACTGGAACCCTCATACATTGCTGGTGGGATTATAAAATGGTGCAGCCACTATGGAAAACAGTTTGGTGGTTCTTCAAAAAGCTAAACATAGAATCACCATATGACCCACCATTTCTAGTCCTAGATATATATCCAAAAGAATTAAAAACAGAGATTCAAACAGACACTTGTACATCAATATTCATAGCAGCACTATTCACAAAAGCCAAAAGGTGGAAACAACCCAAGTATCTATCAATTGATGAATAAATAAAAACATGTGGTATGTACATACAATGAAATATTATTCAGTCATAGAAAGGAATACAGTTCTGTTACATGCTACAATGTGGATGAACCTCGAAAATATTAATGCTAAATGAAATAAGCCAGACACAAAAGGATAAATATTGTATGATTCCACTTATATAAAATATTTAGAACAGGCAAATTCATAGGGACAGAAAGTAGATTAGAGATTATCAGGGGCTGTGGGGAGGGGGCACTGAGGAGTTAATCATGTAATGGGTATAGAGCTTCTATTTGGAGTGATGAAAAATTTTGGAAATTGATAGTGGTGATGGTTGTACAACATTGTGAATGTACTTAATGTCAATGAATTGTACACTTAAAAATGGTTAAAATGGCAAATTTTATGTTATACATATATTTTACCACAATAAAATTTCTTATAGTAGGATATTAACTAATAGATATGAAAAGAAGGATGGAATTAGAAAGATAGCCAGTTGTCAACCATCACAGTACTAATTTAGGCAAGAACTATCAACAGATGGTGAAAGTGGGATGAGCAATTGGATTTTACATAATCTCAAAGTATCACCCTACAAAATACTTATGAATAACAAAGGGAAAAATACATAAGTTTACAGTGGAGAAACCTAAAAGACACCATTTTAATCAAGAGATCAAAGTTAGCATAATAATAGAATAATAGAATAATCAATCAATCAAAATAATAGAATAAATCAATCCTGTATGCCACCCAATAGGAAGTCATGAGAACATAGAATCACTTCTGTGATTTTCTGGCCCCAAACCCATAACCTGGTCTAATCATGAGGAAACTCTGAACAAGCCCAAATTAAGGGTGGGGGAATTGGGGAGACACTGTTTAAGGGTACAGACTTGCAACTAATAGATAAATAAGTTCTGGAGATCTAATGCACAACGTAGTGATTGTAGTCAACAATACTGTATTATAAATTTCAAAATTGCTAGGAGACTAGATCTTAACTGTTCTCAACACGAAAAAGAAATAATAATGATGTGACATGATAAAGATGTTAGCTAAACTACTGTAATAATCATATTGCAATACATAAGTGTATTGAACCAACACATCATACACCTCAAACTTACACAATGTTATATGTCAATTATGTCTCAAAAAAATTTTTTTTTAATTTACAAAAAGCAAATTGTCATGTTCTACAAAACGACTGGTCTATAATCTTTAAAATTGCCAAAGTCATGAAAGTCAAGGTAAGAATAAGAAAGTGTTTCAGACTGAAAGAGACTAGAGACTAGGTGCAATCTTAGATTGAAGCCATTTTGTATAAAGGGCAGTATTGAGAAACTTGAATGGGGTCTCTGCCCAAAGGGTATACAGGAGTTCTTTGTACTATTCTAGTAACATTTCTATAAATATGAAATTGCTTGAAAAAGTTTTAAAGGCTAGGGCCGGCCCCGTGGCTTAGCGGTTGAGTGTGCGCGCTCCGCTGCTGGCGGCCCGGGTTCGGATCCCGGGCGTGCACCGACGCGCCGCTTCTCCGGCCATGCTGAGGCCGCCTCCCACATACAGCAACTAGAAGGATGTGCAGCTATGACATACAACTATCTACTGGGGCTTTGGGGGAAAAATAAATAATAAATAAAATTAAAAAAATAAAAAGTTTTAAAGCCTAGAAGAGTCCCTAGCATATAATTGGTAATATATAAATATTTGCTGAATTAAGTTCTACATTATAACACAGAATTTGGGGGAAACATAAGACCAATCTCACAAGTAGGTACAATTTATGGAGCCCTAGGAACACTCTCTAACATCCAAATATATCTTTGTTATCAATTCACTCTGTGATAATAAAGACTGAAGTAGGCACAGGCACTGAAATAGGGAGAAAGAATGGACAGGGGAGATAAAGCAGAAAAATAAAGAATTATCAACTCTGGAATTTTGATGAGACCCAGTCTGGGAAGCATGCTTTATTTATCCTATGAAATCTCTCATATCTCCAAATCCCAATAGAGAAAAATACTATGGCAGTGATATGATTAACTGCTGTCAACTTTGTCAGCGGGGAAAAAACTCATTTTTTCTTTCTTTTGTCACCTAGCATGAAATATGGAGGAAATATTATCAAAATGATTTAACAATAAAAAGGAAAGCAAAGAAATTTTAAGAGATCATCCTTCCTAGTGAAAAACAAAGGAAGCAACGTATTTCAAAGATCAGCTAATTAAGAGTTCAAAGATCAAATATAATCTCTAAAGGGTTGCATGAAGTAGTAATGATTCTTCTTAGAACTTGATATAGCATATTTTCAAACTCTTGAAGAATAAACGCAGAGATTTCACTAACCATTTTGGGGAGCCTCATCAACATATCTTTACAGCGCAGTACACATGTAGATGCTCTTTGAAAATCCCCTTGAGCAATTGCCTGGGAAAGTAAAAAAATGTCAGTAATTGGTTAAAATGAAATAACAATCTATTTGTCTATAAGTCAATTTTAACATATTTTTAACTGGTGTTAACAAGTATTAATTTGTTTTCTAATCTTTTTAGCAACACTAGTTGGTCTAGCTAAACATAACAGCCAGCTCAAAATACAGAGAAATAAATGGTAAGAAGATTGGGTAACACAGAGTTGATACTGAATAACTGGGAGTCATTTACTTTTTCTGGAAATGCTGAAACTGGTGTACAATCACATAATGCCATGTTTCCTCAGCTTGAATAGCTCTTGTATTTATCTCCACATTAGAGGAAATTTTTAATGTTAAATAGCAGTCTTTTGTCCTAAAACAGGCTCACAATAACCTCATAGTCTGAACTGCTGTGAATCTCTGCTATGAAAGGCGGTTTAGTGCAATCCCATCTTGGGGCCAGAAGAGCTACTCTGATATTTATTATGTATAACCTTGAACCTTACGCACTCACAGCTTCAGTTTCCTCATCTATAAAATGAGGACACTGTAGTAGATTATCTCTAAGGTTCCTTTCAGCTCTACCATTCTATGACCAAACACCCTCAAGTGAACAAAAACATCAATCACACATTACTTGGGTGCTTGTAGAAGAGGCTTGTTTCAGTCATTTAAGAATTTAGATGACAAGGCATATTAAAAAAAAAAAAAGGCCCGGTGGCGCAAGCGGTTGGGTGCACGCGATCCGCTGCGGCGGCCCGGGGTTCACCAGTTCGGACCCGGGTGCGCATCGACGCACGGCTTGGCAAGCCATGCTGTGGCAGCATCCCATATAAAGTGGAGGAAGATAGGCACGGATGTTAGCCCAGGGCCGGTCTTCCTCAGCAAAAAAAAAAGAGGAGGATTGGCAGAAGTTAGCACAGGGCTGATCTTCCTCACACACACAAAAAAAACATGGACATATACAACAAAGTAATCTTATAAAGTACTTTGTAGGGGGAAAAATCTCTACGTTTGCTATTTTCTTTTCTCTTATGCAGTATCAAATATTCTCGTGCTTTGGATAAGGAAAGAATTGAGTAGAGACATGAAAAGATGAAGAAGATAAGAAGGTAGCTTCGCTTTAGTTTTCTCCTCTATCTACCTGCTGAATATTAAGCTAGACATCTTGCTGAGTAGATACCTTCTTCTAAGGCTTTGATACTAGATTTTGTAAAAGAGGAAAATAAATAGTAAACACAAGAGCCTCAAAAAGCCAAATCACAATTATCTATAGAGATTACAAAATAATATTCCCATCTATATGAATAAGTGTTTGATGAATACTTGCTGATTGATTCATTATTCAAGGTGGAGAAAATCTTATTATAAAAGAGAAATGCTGAGTGACAAACCCCATATCGGAGGATGATGCTTTCTGTTCTTATAACATATAAAACAATATAAGCCTTTAATATGCTCAAAGAATCTATAAAGTGTCAATCATTAATCAGATTTTATCTTAGAGGAAATCATAACTCTAATAATTCCAGCTAGTTTCGAAAATTTATTCATGTTTTTGGGCCAGGAGTCAATATTTCAAACCCAAAGGATACAGAATTCAAGTAAAAGAAGTCTTAAAGAAGAGGCAGCATGCTATAGTGCTGTAGCAATGTTTGGTGAGCTTCAGACTCACCTGTGGAGCTTTTTGGAAATCACATGCCCAGGTCCCACCACTTGGAGATTCTGATACATTAGGTCTGGGATGATGCCCAGCCTATACTGATGAGGTGAAAAGAGTATGGGCTTTGGATTCCCAGCTTTTCCACTTCTTGGCTCAGTGAACTTAGGCAAGTCACAACCTCTCTGAACCTCAATTTCCATAATTGTAAAACAGGCACAGTAATGTCTACCACATAGAATTGATCTTATGAGGATCAAATGAGATCACAAGATATGAAAGCATTTTGTAAACTGTAAGGCAGTACACAAAAGTGTGAACAATTTTTGCAGTCAAAACTATCATCAGTGCCAAGAACTGTAATAAGGGAGGTTATTTGCTCTTATGTGGTACTCACTGCTAGTGAAGAGAGGAAGCTTCTCTTAAATCATATCCTAGCAGACCTATAAAGTATTTTAACTTATACTGATGGATCAAGGAACTTAGGTTGGCCCTTCCTTAGAAGAGAGAAAAGCTCCAAGGTTGGATCTGAAGTGCTGCTCAACAGCATTGGATTATTACCATTATGCAAAGAATTAAATGCTAGACTGAACATCACCTAATATGCTACTAAGTGATGATGACAACACGATCAATCCAAAGACAGAAAACTATGCTGAACGGATCCACTAAAAATTTATGCTAACTTCAACTGGACCCTCATTTCAGCTAAGCAATCAAAAATGTTACAGCTCCTAGTACCATGCCAAGTATAAAGTAGATGCTCAATAAAAATTAGTTTCCTTCTTTATTGATTTCCTTAGGACATTTCCCACATAGATGTTCAAGCCCTTTTTTATGCTTCAAGTGCTCCATAACATGCCACACCCTCCTACTATACCCCTCCCAAAAATTACTTTGCCTTCCATCTTAATAAAAAAAAAAAAACTCATGTGCTCCCTTATCCAATATCTAATTCTCTTCTGCCATTTAAAATATCTATCTTACCCTATCTATCCTTTCCTTACCATAAAAAATTCACAATCTTCTTAATTTTCACACCATAGTTAGTTGCTCATCCTTTGTTTTTCTGTGGAACTTCATTCATATTTCTTTTAAAGCAATTACCCTGTTGTAATGCATCTGTTTACACATCTGTATCTCCCACAAAACTTACCTAAAGCTCCTATAGGAGAGGTACCACATACTAATGTTATTGATCATTTTATCTCTAGTGTACAGAGTATTGACTTATATAGCAGGCACTAAATAAATATTTATCCATCTATATACGCACTTGATCAGATTAATTTCCATCTCCTTCTGGTATATCAATTAACCCCCCTCCTCTTTATCCAACTTCTCCAATCTTCTTCTCCCTGGTTCTTATATTCTACCTGTAATGTGTTCATATATACTCTATTTTGAAGATAACCTTCCTTTGACCATGCTTATCTCAGTAGCTACAACTCAATTTTTCTTCTTCCCATTGTCAGACATCCTGACAGAATATGCTATATTCATGGTTCTCAAATTTTAGCATAAGACAGAATCATCTGGAAGTCTTGCTAAAACACAGATTGTTAGGCTCTACCTCCAGAATTTCTGATTCACTGGGTTTGGGCTGGCATTGCATTTTTAACAGGTTCCCAGCGCTGGTCCAGGGACCACTCTTTCACAGCTCTAGACCAATCCTATACCAATAGTTCTGATTCTTCTTGGTCTCAGGAGCCCTATAACTCTTAAAATTATTGAGGAGTCAAGGAGATTTTGTTTATCTAGGTTATAGCTATCAATATTTAACATATTAGAAATTAAAACTGAAACTTTAAAAAGTATCTATTCATTGAAAAATGAATATAAATATTATGTTAATATAAATAACATATTTTTATGAAAACTAACTATATTTTCCCAAAAAAATTAGCAGAAGAGTACCATTGTATCACATTTTTACAAATCTATTAATGTCTGGTTTAACAGAACACTTGGATTCTCATAGCTGCTTCTGCATTATACCTATTGTAATGTTGTTTTGGTTGAAGTATATGAAGAAAATCCGGTCTCACACATATATGTAGCTGGAAAATAGTCTTTCCAGATAATTGTGGATATTCTTCTTTGACACAACACCAAAACTCAGCAAGTGGCAGTTTCTTAAAGGTTAGTTGCAATGTGAATTCTGGAACCATACCAAACAACTTTTCATACCCTGTTCATATTAAAACCTATGGATCTATCTTACACTTTGACTGGATCTCTTACCCATACATGATTTTGTAACAACATGAATTGGTAATTTGGAAAACACTGGCTCACTGAGTTATGTAGATAAACCAAAGGTTGACACATTCCATTATAACATGTCAAAAAAAAATCACATTCATCCTCAACACTCTTATTCAACATAGTATTGAAAGTTCCAGCCAGCACAATAAGGGTAGAAGAGGAAAAGAATAAAACTGTCTCTATCTGAGGATGACATGATAGTCTACATAGACAATTCCAAGGAATTTACAAAAAAAATTCTAGAACTAATAAGCGAGTTCAGCAAGGATACAGGATACAAGCTCAACATACAAAAATCAATTTTAGGAGAATCACTTCTAAAATGATGGATTAAAGACCTCTGAAACTCCATTCCTCCAGAAAAAGCAATGAGAATACTGGCAAAAACTGTCAAAATGAACTTTTCAGAACTCTGGAAATTAAACAAGGGCTTGCAACAATCTGAGAAGTATTTACTCAAGAAAATCAGCGGATTTTTCTTGAATAAAAGAATCTCCATAAGACAGCCAGCTTTGTGCCATTTCAAATTGCTCATTTTTATCCCCCTCTCTCTAGCCCTGCAATAGCCCTGACAACCAGCAGACTGGGAACCTTATTAGCTGTGAAAAACAGCAGCTTAGCAGCCACTGGAAGGGACAGAAGGAGTCTGGAGGGGCCAAAAAAGCCCCATTCCCAGAGAATTGTCACAAGTTGAGCAGTCTGGCAGCTCCATGGAAAAGCTTCATTCACAGGGCTTTATTTATTTTTTTTACATATAATTCACATACCATAAAATTCACCATTTTAAAGTGCACAATTCAGTGGTTTTTAGTATATTCACAGGTCATGCAACCATCATCACTCTTCAATTCCAGAACATTTTCACCACCCCAAAATAAAACCCATTAGCAGCCACTCCCATCACCCTTTTCTCCCAGCCCCTGGCAACCAACACTCGACTTTCTATCTATATGGATTTGCCTACTCTGGAAATTTAATGTAAATAGAATCACAATACGTGGCCTTTTGTATCTGGCTTCTTTCACCTAGCAAAATAGTTTCAAAGTTCATCCATGTTGTAGCATGTATGAATATTTCATTTCTTTT